TATATATATATATATATATATATATATATATATTCACAGACACACACTAAGACAAGTTAACAAACTTTTAAACATAAATACACACGCTCATATCGATACTGAAAAAAAAACTTTTTTGCTTATTTTTCTTCAACGCCTCCTTCACCCTCCCACCCATCTCGTCTCCTCAATTTGCTTTTCCCCTCCCCATACACTTTCCCCACCTGTCCCACCTCGTCTCACCTTGTCCTAAAAAGTAGGTATTAAGCTAACAAATTTTTGACCGTTCCACTTTGTATACCATCACTTGACACTTCATATATTTATATGTATAAACAATCGAAAATTGTGCACTGAATACAATATCAAGAAAAACAGAAGCTTTTACGTAAGTGCAAATATTTCCCTTCTGTTTTTTGTTGTTTTCGCTCTACGAGCACCTAAACAGCCCACCAAAACCATAGCTTGATATAGTTGATTCTGTTATCATTCTACTGCCTTATTAACTGAGTAAATATGTTCAAACAAAGAAAAAAAATAAAGCCAAAACTAACTTCCTCCGCGTTTTGCATGATTTGAACAGCAAAAACAAAGAAATGGAAAAAAAGGATTGGAAAAAAAGGAAGGAACTTGGTGGTGATTCAGCTAAAAAAAGAAGGTTCACTTGATCCAAAAATAGATATAATATTCCTAGAATTTGCAATACAATTCCCACAGAGACATAATTCGTTCAATTTCACGACCATGATAAAAAAACGCACAATCTTCCTCACCCAATTTTCAGTGAGCTGATACACTTCAGGAATTTAAGCGGGTTTTTTTCTTCCGAGAAGAATGCCAATTTTTCCAACATCTTTAGAGATCAATACAAATTAAACACCACTTTTTTTTTTTGCATTTTCAACACTTTTTTTACTCATTTTCATCTCAACTTTAAAAAGTGTAGTTTCCACTAATTCAAGCAGGTTCAGAAGTTGTCTTTGATTTGTCGATAATTATCGTTATTTTCATCCAAAAAAAAAAGAAAAAAACATTGCCTTTACCATGCAGTTTAACAAGTCTGTTGCCTATGACGGTGTTCAAATGGCGAGCAGAAGAAGGAGAGAAAAAATTGATGATTTCAACAGAAAAATTCAAATGTCTATAAACAACAAGTTTCCTCTTCTATTTTTCTTTCTTCTGCAATCTTCTTCTCTCCTGTCTCCGCCTAACACGATACACAGTTCGACACTTTCAACAAAAAGTATTATGTTGCTAAAATGTTGTTGAAATATATATCTCTAAAGCTCAACACATTTTTGTCTGCTGAATCAAAAATGAACTTATTGTAAGCTTGAAAAATTGCATTACTTTTATTTTTCTTCGTTGATAATGATATTGATTTAACATTTTTTGTTTCTCTTTTCTTTCTTTTAGTTTGAGAA